CCTTTCCTCTACAACTCAACCAGCTGAGCATCTGACTCCCCTAATGGACACATTACCGTGTGCTTACAAACTTACAAGCCCTGCAAAAGGTGAGGTCTCTCTTAACTTGCATCTGCGCAACAAATCAATTAGATCTCAGAAGCGGTTCCTCGTTTCACAGGGGTTTTCTTCCCCTCAGCGCTTTACGCTTCATTTGCCGTTTGGACTGTTGAAGGAGACTAGTTGAAAAAAGTTTAAACGTAACAATGTAAAAACTACTTTCAAGATCGCTGTTCATTCATTGCATGTGAGACGTTAGATTATGTAAAGGTCGTTTAGTAAAAGACTTTAAGGTTTTTTGCAGAAGAAAAAAAGACAACCTGCATTCATTAATGAAATGTAATAAAAAAAACTCCAAAATAACGCTAGGAGTGACTCAAGGTGAATAATATTTTCATCTCAGTGACTCACTAAGCGTTGGGGTGGGCAGTGCACTTATGAATGAAAGCATGAGGGAGAATCTACCCCATTATATGCAGCAGAGGAGCAGAAGTGCTAATTATATTCCTACGAGTCAAGTGGTAATCAGATAGCCTCAGATTAATGCATGGGCATGTTTAATGTGTGCGGATGACCTCAGCACCGTATGCCTTTAAAATCTACATGGGCAAAAATAAACAGATTTCTTTAACAAGTCACATTCCCAACTATTCAACTATTCCCACCTAAAAATATTCTCCTTATTACTGGAACACTTATTTGTGCTGTGGTGATCCACAAATAAAAAAAGAAATAAGATAAGTCAAGATGCGTAAATGAGATAAAGCCAACAATGATATACGCTCTGTCTCTAATAAAGTTTGAGAAGTTGCTGTGAGTCCAAATCAACAGAACAAGCCGTCTTTTCAGATATGATTAATGCAGGTGGCTGGCAAATATGAAAAAATAGCACGACTTTGCCTTTATACATTCAATATAATTAGCAGAAAATATGTAAAAAGATAAGTGAGTGTGGATCGTTTTGAAATGCAGCTAAAAATACATCATATAATGCATAGTTTTGAGTATTACCTTCATCTATAGAAGATTATAAACAATACAAGTTTATTTAGTTAATTATTACTTTTATTATAATTATTAATGAGTTCTGTGTGTATATATACAACAACAGTTAAAAAATATAAATTTGTAAAAATGTATATATTTTTCATAAATATCATTATGATTCAAACATATGTAAAAAATGTATTCAATTATATTGATACTGACAATATATTGATTTATATGCACATTTATTTATTGCATTTTGTTATATTAATGCAAAAAAATGAAAATAATATATATATAATATAATGCAATTCATTAATAATAAAACAAATAAAACTACAATTATGCATTTCTTTCTCAATGTTTGGAAACATTTGAATAAAAAAAATCAGGATTTATATACTGTATTTAGAGTTTCTGTGCGAAATGATAAATTATTGTCAACGTTTCCTTCTCATTCAAGCTACAAGACTTCAAAATTTCTGCTTTTTCTATTAGGGAAAATGCGCTTTGAATCTTTTATATGGGTATTACCTTATAACAATCATGCTGAGTAAGTGTAATATAGAGAGAAGCAAACTATGGGAATGGGCATCATTAGAGCCAAGTGCTCCCTTGGGCCCCACAAACTTTAAATAATTTGCAAATCAATTAACTGGCAACTCTCAACATAACAAGGATTTCACACCCCAGGGTCAGAGCACATTATCAGCTCTGGAGGATTCATGGCATTTTGGGAGAAAAGTTCATGGTTGGAATCAATTCATTTTACAGGACTTTTAGTTATGCATTATGCCCAGCTGTGGAAGCCAGGAGATTAATGTCATGTTCCTCAGTATGTCTATATATAGTCAATAAGAGAACGCCTTTTTACCTTGGTTACTGTCTTTACCTTGAAACAAGGGAAGACTGCCAAGTTTATATTATGTATAATTCTTCTGAAAATTAGATAAAGCACATCAAGCCATCAAAAGGACGATATATTGAATAAACCTTGGCAGAAGTCACTCCCCCAGCCAAGACAGCGTGTTGTTGGGACGTTAGGTCATAGCGGGGTGATTGAAGACTATTGAAAATAGTCTTGCTCTAGATGATCAATGGTCAATTCTCAGACGAAACCAGTCTGGTCTGCTAGACTATACCAGCCGAATGTAGTACAAATAAATGGAGTGTATTTCATTTGAAAAACGTATCCCTTACGACCCTGTGGATTGAGAGGGCACACCAGTATGCGTGCAGAAAAATAGGTGCAGAGCCAGAATATGATGCTCTTGGCGTCACAGAACAAAACCTCATGAGAACTAATAAGAAAACGAATAGATACTGGGTCTTAAATACTTCAGCGAGGATCTCAACCATCACAGATGTCTCAAGACCTTAGGACTTCCTTTCATGACAATAATTCAATTTCCAACAATTAAATCTTATTCTAAATTCACACTGATGAAATTTTATGTTCCATTGGGCCTTTCGGGTGGAAAGAAGAGAACGAAGTTTTTTTTCTTTCTCCCCAATCAGGCTGATGAAATTAAAATGCCGACCCCTTATTGAACAGCCACTCTGACAACAATCAAAAAGAGGGTCAGTAAAGAAATGTAGCTGGGGAGAGACTGTTAATAGATGGGGAAATAACCACCCAAAGGTTATTCATTTTCATTAGGGGTCCAGGAGAGCTGTTTATTTAATTCTTTTTTACAGAAAATTATTCCTGAAGACACTGGCCCCACAGAGACATCAACAGCGAGACACGCTAAATGCAAAATGAAGGAAGGCTCCGGCAGCTTTATTAGATGAATGGCACACACTGACAAAGAGTGTATTCTGCCTGTTCAAACAGATGCCGTCGCCTCTTCCTCAGGTGTTTCCGAATGACTTTGCGCAGGAGTGATTAAATGCCGGGCGCATGCAAGCCACGCGTTTGCCCAAATTACTTACTGCCTCATTTTGTGATTAATTAAACATGCAGATTAAAGTTGCAAAGGAATTTAGATTAATACATGTGTTATAGGTCTGGTAAGAATCAGAGCATTAGGGGAGGAACGATGGACGGGTACATTTCTTCTCTTCCTCATATTTAAACATTGTGAAAACTGAAATGAAAAAGACACTGGACATAGATAATATAGCTTTAATATAGCTTTATCTCTCTCTCTGAAAGCTTGCCCTTTATTTCAATTGCATTTAAATGACTGACATATGTCTTGAAACATATATTTTTTTAATTTCAGATAGTTTGTGTACATAGATTACATAGTTTGCTTAAAATTACTATTTATTTATTTTTAAGATTTAGGTCAGGACTAACCTTAAATCGCGGTACTTCAAATGTCTATTATTACCAAAATGAAGTAAAATCAATTAAGTTTTCAATACGGGAAAAATACAATTTAAGCATTCACTCTTACCCACCCACATACACACACTCGCACTGGTCTAAATGCTGACACAATGCCAACCTGATGTACAGTACAAGGCTTACACTGTTACCCTCAGTGCTGGAGCTGGGCCAGAGCATAGGTCTGATGTTTACTGTTCTAACTCAAGTGGTTCTTTCACCTTCATTCAGCTTAACAATCAGCGTTTCATTCCCTAAATAGAGACCTGACCCTGTGACATATCAATGTTAATATCTGTGTTCACAGGACCGTAGCTGTTGTGTAGTGGTAACACAGACCATGTAACCTCATCCCGAATGGTAAGACTACCACCCGTGGCACTCCAGAAACCACTGATGTTTTAAACATCTCAAACACCTACTCTTACTCAAAGACAACGACACGCCCACTGAGCAGAGGTCAATCTAAAAAAATAAAAATAAAAAATGAAAATAATCGAGGGCGGTATCGTATTTACTCAAAGCACAATTTTCCAATAATAATGATTCTAATAATGATAACGCATGATCGTTCTCCACTTCAGGCTCAGAAATATTAAGACTCTCTCTTCCAGAGTTACAATTCGGGCAGACAAAACCTGCAATCACTTCCGGCCCCTTTCTTATTTCTTTCCTCTGACATCCATTCAGTGCGGACTTAAAACGCCATCGACACACACAACAACCATAGCTTAAACAAAAAAGCGCCTGTAATAGAGCATATTGATCTGAGCCGAAGATGCTGTTTGAATTGAAATCACGGGGATAAAGCTTCTGATTTAGCGTGCGGCCTTGAACTTTGAGCTGGAATATGCCATTCTAGGTGGCCTAATTATACAGGGCCAACAGTGGGGCTTTCTGCACACTAATATAACTCTGTCCTGCACCTCATATCGAAGTGACATTTGAAAAAAGATTAATATGAACTTAACTTTCAGAAAGCTTGTTTGCTCAACATTACCAAGAGCAACACTTTGCCAGATATGATCTTTATTACTATGCTGGAAAGAGAAAACTCCCATTTAAGACATATTGTGGCAGAAAACTGCAGCCGTATATTGACTGTTTACTAAGACCCTGTCTGTGTTTCTTTAAAAGGGGCTCTTTCTTCATTGCTGTGAATGCTCTTATTGAGGGCGACTGGCAGCCTGAAAGTACCAATAACATAGTTGGTATTAGCATAGAGAATAGATTCGCTCTATATGCACCGATGGAAGTGTGTGTTTGAGCGGAAAGTGGAGGTAGGTGCTAACAAGCAAACCAGTTCTTTAAATTACTACTTTATACCTTTTAAAGTAACAAAAAAGGCTATAATCTGCATCTAAATGTTAATATGTAGACTTTTATGTAAGTCACTTGTGCTGTTTCTAGGAAAGTGACACAGAACAGAACAACAAACTCATCATTGCAATCATTTGTGTAAGGCCACCATTTCCTGTGTTGATGAAGCATGTACAGTGGTTTAAAATCAAATCAGACAGACGTAAAGGGATAAGACAACAGCAAGAATAGGACAAAAAAACAAGTGTTAATGGAACAGTGATACACAATGATCATGTTGGACAAGACACATAAACCAAAATATACTGTTTGTACTTACATAAACAGAAAGACTTTATCCCCAGCTCCCAAAGATCACTGGTGAGTTGATTTTGAATTCATGAAAATTACCTACAACAGAACAAAAACAAAAACAACAACATGGTTTAAGTCTGCACAGCTTGCTTTAAATGAGTATATCAGTGTTAGGCAAAATTCAGAATTGGCTTCATTTCAATTCATGAATTAGAATTGGCCACACCCCACAACTGGAATTTGAACTGGAATGATGGGAAGAGGAATTTACTGAATTGAAATTCAAACCAATTAGAGCTGATGCATTCTGGGTAATGAAGTGTTCTTCCACTCATTCTCAAAACTTTCAATTATGATTAAATATATAAAGTATAAACTATTAAATTCTTGCACTCAAATTGGAAATGGAATTCTGCACCTACAGCAATTCAATTCAAATTCAGAAACTAAATAGATACAGGCTACATCACCGTTCAAAAGTAAAGATTTAAAAATATTTTTGAAAGAAGTCTCTTATGCTCGCCGAGGCTGAATTTATTTGATTAAAAAAATGCAGTAATATTGTGAAATAGTATTACATATTCAAAATGTTTTCTTTTCATATTTTTTCAGCAGCCATTACTCCAGTCTGCAGTGTCACATGATCTTCCAGAAATCGAATATGCTGATTTTGTGCTTAAGAGATATTTCTTATTATTATCAATGCTGAAAACAATTGTGCTAAGTATTTGTTTATTATAAAGAGTAACAACAAAGCAGAAGAACAGAAAATTGTGAGAGAGGATGTCAGACGAGTGAAGTAAAGTGAGGGTGCAGGCAGGCGGTCAGAGTCCCAGCAGATGAAGTTAAACAGTCGTTACGCCGCAGAGCCTCCAGTTACTCAGCTCTCTCCCTGAGGGACTCAATCCTAGACAATGTTTAGAGTCCAATTCTCTAATACCTCATTAATCTGTCCCTGCACTGTTTGATTCAACTAATAAATGGCTTTCATACAAAGTACTTGTTTTCTCTAATTCCTCTCTCTGCAGAGCACTAATGATTTATTTAGTTACACGCTCTGCTAGTTCTAGCAGGTCTTCTGAGGTCCTCCAGCAATGCCGGGCCGGCACAACCAAGGCAACACAAACAAACAGACGGTGTACCCAAATCACCGACAACATCCAGGTTCAACATGATCCGACCATATGTGTAGTGTTACATTTCCCTTTTACGTGACAGTAGAAAGAGAAAGAGAGAGAAATAGTGCTGCACAAACCTCACTGATGTTCATTTCACCACATTATTCTGTTTTTCACAACAAGCAGGAATCTCATTACCAGATGATTTATGCAATTAGCCTGCCTCAGCATCACCAATTAAACAAGGACACAGGGGTTTGAGGTCACAGCTAATTGATCCGCCTGCAATTTGCGCCATGTCTGCACCGGAATCTGCCCTCCCGTACGAGCGCTAAAGAACTAAGTCAATGCACAGAGACTAAGTAAATGGCTGTGTGGGAGGGTGGGTTAATAGAATAAACTGAGAGATCTTTGGTCTCCAATGGATCTGAATGTGGCAACCTTGAGGCTGAAAGTGACAATGGGAGAAAAGATGCAGGAGGTCTGACCCTCGTGTGAATGGAAAGCTGTTGTCATCTTAATAGCACCTCTGAGCTGACAGTCTATTCCACGTTCTCAAAAGACCATGCCACAGGCCTGACTGCCTCCCAGTTCACACCGCACACACACAGTGTGTATCTGTGTGCATGCGCTCATGCATCTCTCACAGAGTTAGGCCCAGCTCTCTTTCGTGCCACACACACTTGACAGTGGTGGTAATTCTATAAACGCTTTTCTCTTTGTGAGCGATACAACATCTGACCAATTCCTGTTGTGCTTTCATAAAAACAGCACTGTTTTAACTGCAGGGGGCCAAAAAATAAAAAGGAATTTGAAATTATAATTTGATGCTATGTGAGAAAAATGATGGAAGTAAAAAAGCTTGTGAAAAAGAAAATGGTGCAATTTTATATTCATGTTTTTTTAAGCTAATCATTTGTTTAGATGGGATTGTTTTTGTTATTATAAATAAGATGACAATGATATTAGAAATAAATAAACTAGCGAAATAAGCCCTGACCTACTATATAAATGACTGTGGCAGGCCACTGTAGTGCTAAGAAGAGCTGGATTAAACAGGACTTTCTAATTGGGTGATCATGAATTCATTAAAGAGAGTTCCAATCAGCACCAGCCTGTTTTTATTAGTCACCCAACAGTTTTATTACCGATTCATTGCGTCCGCAATTACCGCTGCGGCTTTCTAACATGTTGAGCTCTGTTTTCTCTCTCTTCCTGACAATGACTGCAGTGATGAAGTAGCTGCGGTTGTACAAATGGGAGCTGAAATAAAGAGAGATGAAGAAAGGAAGAACTGTTCGAGTGGCCGAGCGTCTTGGCAAATTGCTAGACGAAAAGCTAAAGCCCATTAAACCCCATGAGGACAGACTAGGGGGCACCCAAAAACTAATGATAGGGTTTCCTGTGAAATAACCTTTACGCCACATTGCATCAGATGAGGAATTGACCAGTTTAAATGAAAACAGATTTTATTTTTTAAATGTGCTGAATATTTCAATGGGGATTAAGTAGGGTGCTTAAACTCATGTTGGTGAGGCTAATCCATCGACCATGACAGTGACTCCAGCTAGCCCCTCCAACAAACACACTACCACAAACTGACTCCAGGAGCACAAGCCAATGGATACACACAGAGACACACAGACACACAGACACACCTACACACACACACACACACACACACACACTCACGAGTAACTGATTCTCCAAAAAGCCTCCATTCTACATTCAATCATTTTCAAGCTCATAGCCAGCATAAAACAAATGTCTTTTCCTTTCCAGAGATAAACTGTACATTCTTTACATTTCACTCAAGAACAAGAATTCAGAATCAAAAGAAAAGTCCTTTCAGAAACCCAATGAGCCTTCAAATACCAAGCATGTGTTCATCTACAGTAGGTTCAGCTGATTAAATCAATCCTCTACATAACAGAGCTGTGTCTTTGACCATCATATGACGATTGGGAATCAGTGAATAACCTCACATTAGCAGACATGCTTTCGCACGGCATACGCAGGCAGCTTGTTTTAAATATACTTGCAAAAGTGGGAGAAATACAGTAGCGTGCTTTACATAATGCGCTGTAAATGTGTACTGATAAGAGAGCTTTAAGAGGCTGAACTGTAAGGCAAAGTGGTTCAGATGGGTCAAATATAGATGAAATCCTTCATCTTTCTGACCATGGACATGCTGCACTCTCCTAAGGAGGGAACATTTTCATTTGCATCAACTTTGCCTTGGCTTTCTTCTGATCCAGCAACCTGCAAAAAATAAAATCACTTTAAAAAGTCCTATTTCCCCCAGTCCAGAACATGTTAAGAGGGGATTTAGGGGAAGTAGTTATTGGGACAAAAGAGGCAATATCCCCCATCAGCAGGACGGTCTCTTACTTGGTGGAGGACAGGTTATCTCTGTACTAACAGCAGGGCCACTGACAGGGTCTGGAGGATGGGAGAAGAGGCGGGGGTGGGTGAAAATAAGGCAGAACTGAGCCGAAAGACGGGCCACTCACACCAAGCAGTGGCCGGAAGAGCAAAAGAGGTAAAGTGGTGTTTTTGTCAGATCCAATATTCCTACTGACAAAAATAAACTAGTGCGCAGCTGACATATCTGTGTGTGTAAAGCACGAGACCAGTACAGTTGTAAGGCTAGTGCGCCATCATAGCTGCCAGCTCTCACGCATTGGCCGTGAGACACCCGCATTTGATTGGTTTCACACGCTCACACGCCACACTCCCGATTTCTCACGCTGAAGTGTCAACCCGGGCGGTCAAATGCCTGGAAGATGAGTTTATCTATATATCTACCTGTTGAGCCACTCGTGATCGACTAGTTATACCGCAAATTCGTAAAAAATCTCCCGTTATCTAGAGCGAGCGTGCATGCGAGACAGAGATTGTGCTCCAAACCGCGTAGAGCGAGCGAGAGACCTTGCGCGAGCGAGACCGTTTTTTTTTTATTAACTGTCATTTTTAACTTGACCGTTAAAAATTTAAATTTTAAAGAAACATTTTAAAAGCTTTGATGTTTTAAGGTTTATAGAGCGACAAATGCTAGAGAGAAAGAGAGCAAAAAACATGGATATGAAATGCCACCTATAGAAATATATGTATAAGCCTTCATCCATATTTAATATTTATGTTTAAATATATTTTTTCATTTAATAACATTTATTTAACATCCCAGAATGCATTACCTGCGTCGAAATTCTTTGAATTGTAATTCAGTCTTGTAATTGCTCTTCATTTCAATTCAAATTCCAATCCTGTCATGTGTGGCCAATTCCATTTCAATTCAAACTCGCAAAGGGAGAAAATTCTTCAATCTGAATTGTCTCCGAAGACCAATAAAGACCCAATAAGTGAGATTCATGTCAGAAAGAGCAGTGGATTCAAAAAGACCAACTTTCTTTCACTGAAATAAAATAAGACACGTCCCATTTCATTGATCTTCCTCTTTGAATGTGCACATGCTTAGTTTAAGAGGGCTTGCTTACAGCCGAGGGTGTTTATAAAGCGTATTTCACAACTCCCATCATGGATGGGGGAGGTTGAGCTGTTTTTAAATCAAACATCTCCTCTCCTTGGGCTTGCAGACAGCACCGCGACCAAGCCAGACTTTCATGTCTGACAGTGGAGATACATTTCATGTGATTTACTCTGCTGTGAAATAACAACAACGAAAGTCCGTATTAGGGGAAGAAAGGGTTGACCGGCGACCACGGGCCTCAAATCCACCCCGAGAGGAATTTGACTCCCAGCTGATAAAATACAGTCATACCGATTCTCTGTGAAACACACACACACACACTTCAGTAAATGATTAGAATGCAATTGCAGCAAAAGCGGAAAAGCAGGTCCTTGTCTTTTTTATCATTGATTTGGCATCAGTCGATGGAGTTTATTCCCTAGCCATGACACAAAGCACTTTCCCACCCCCCTATTTATCCGTCCCTACTATTGAGTTGGGTTATGGAA